ATCAATGTCTTGGATTTCCAGGCTGAGCTTGGAGGTCACAGCCACTCTATCATTTCTCAGCATTATCCTTTCTCTTTCTCTCGCTCTCTCTCTGAGCCTCCAACTGGCACACAGCAGATTGAAAACAGCATGCATCACAGGGCTCACGCTGCACAATTTTACAGCCTTTTGGAGCCCCCTTCCTTTCCTTGTGGCCCACTTTTTTTGGCGCTTTTTTTTTTTTTTCAATTTGCAATTTGCAAATAAGTTTTGTTTGTGTCCTACAGAACTGCAAGCCAAAGGCACTGGAACACCTACAAATATGAAAACGCAATAAAAACACAAGGGAGAACAGAGCCGATCTTGACAGCTGCCAGTAAGAGGGTTATACTTGATGTTACCAGTAGATTCGGCAGGCCTTCTAATTCCACAATTGCCACAAAATAAATACCGTGACCTCTTAGTTCTCATCAGACATTCTGCCTGTGCATGAGAGATCCAAAAACAACACCGGGATTTTAAGTGTAGTGGATCTAGCAAGCTGCTAGCCACACACAAAAACCCCTTGTAAAATGCACAAATATCTCTTGTTAACCATAGACATGACTTTTTTGGGGAAAGAAAAAAAAAACACCAACCAACCAAAAAAACTATGACCAAGCACTGCATGGCTTTGTGATTCCTCACTCTATAATATATAAAAGAAGGGGCCAAGCCAAGGATAAACTTTGGGAAGTCAGAAAGTCTGCACTGAGGAGAGAAGGAAAAAAAACATAGACCCAGAGCTTGATTCATTAACACAACAGCTACTGGTTCCACATCATCTATTTTATTCTTTGAACGTGTATCTCACTGAGCTGACAATGGTCTTATTTATTTGTCTAGTTATTTCTAATCTGTGCTGCTTTACTGTTAGGGTAAAAACAACACACTACTGTCAATTCAAAGAATCTTTTCTGACATGATAAAGGACATGGACAGCACGCTAGAGGACACTAACAGAAAGAAAGGACACTTTTTTGTCAAGCTCTTGCTGTCACCTAAATGGGACTGATTTTTCCCTGCATTCCTTACCTAAATTCTTCCTAGTTATTTTGCAACACCCAAGATGTGCCATTCAATTTTGACCTGCTACTTTTGCTCAGCCGTCGCATACACTGAGCTCATCTTCTTCCACTGGATATATTCCGTGTCTTTTTTCTGGGTATAACTAGTCACACACTGGCAGTGTTATACAGATGTGACTGCAAGCTGCTAACTTGACCTCTTAAATGAGTGAGACCATTTGACCAATATGACCAAGATTACTCATCAGAGCCCATCGGCTTGATGGACAGATACCAGCCCTGTTCTATGACACAACAGACATTGCTTTGGAGACCTGTTCCTCCACAAACTCCCGCTGAACCCCAGGACAGGATCTGACCACAGCTGAGATGCCCCACATCTTCCCATCTCTTGTTGACATACTGCTAGCCTGACTCCAGTTTAGCATTCTGAAAGGAAATCACAGTTGTGTGCTGGAACAGGAGCTGGTCACCTCAGCCTGCCACCTGTTACTGAAGATGGGAGAAACAGCAGTGTGATAGCTAGGACACTGCAAGGGAAACCATGGGATCTCAGCTGAGGTGGTGTCTGTTACTGACATCATGTATGAAGGCTTGTTTGGTGTTACTGTGCTGGTGTCCTCCCACCGGAAAAATAGCACTACAAATATTCTCCTATTTTAGGAGGCCATCCTGAGAACAAAGCTACCTGCAACTGAGAGGCACACAGACACCCTTCAGAAAAAAACCAACCCACATGCAAGTACCCACATTGTCAGAAACACAATGCTGCAGGGCCTGGTACAGTACCTTGCTTTTGGGCGGAGGGCTGTTTGTGCTCTTGTCTGCATGGATGCTGGTAGGGGATACAGCAGCACCAAGGTTACCTTGGGGTATGCCAGGTATCTTGCCTCCCGGAGAGACTTGCATCGCAGCAAGTTGGGCAGCATACAACTGCTGTAAAAACAAACAAAAAAGGGGAGGGGAGGGTAGAGAAGAGAGACATCATCAATAAATATATACTTTCCCCAAAACTTCTCCTACTGCAGATGATATATTTTCCTTCTGATGGGTATTTTTACTTAGCACACTGGTATATTCAAAAATTGTCATCTCAACTTTTGTGACTCATTCCTCTGGGGACGAATGACAGACGTCACCATGAGAAATGTCCCAGCTTCCCTGTGTGTCCAGGGATTCAAAACAAGGAACAAAAGCTAATCTTCATGGTTTGCCTGAGTCACTGGGCAATCTTTCTTTTCCTGAGATGACTTAGGCATAACAGCATCTCCAACAATAATATGCATCGACCCCTGTGAAATTCACATCATGTTTGATATGATGGTCTCTGTGCTACCATTTTACGTTTCTTTCTTACATGCTGTGTTTGTCTTGTTTGCACAGGCTGTAAGGTGTTTGGGACAGGGAATGTCAAAACTTTGTTTAGCACTTACTGTGAGATCCACTCTCAGTTGGGCTCTGGGAAACCACTACAGCCAATACAAATACGTACATATCGATGGTAATGTACTGTTCATTAACACCTAGAAATTCCAATAAAGACTAAGAACCCTTTCCATGACAGATGCAAAGCAGATACATAGTGGGAATATTTTTCTCTTCAAAACTAAACCAATATGGCACTTTAAACACATATTTGATTATTAGCATGTAAATTCTTAAAATCACAGTCATCTCTTTAAAGTTAAGCGCCACAGTAATGATGGACAGAGGTCAAAAGCAGAGAGAAAACAGGCAAACTGGCACTGCCTGGAAGCTCTCCTGATGTCCAAATAAAAAGTAGAGAAAATAAACATGGTGGGCAGGGGAAGCAACAATTTTTGCTGCTTTGTGAATAGAAAGGAATTCAGGTGAAGTCAAATAGAAGTCAGATGCCTGAGACAGCAGTAAATGTAGTAACAAAGGTTTTCCCTCCTCGATCACAGTATCCCTTTCAAAGACTCCTGCTATGTATTATTTGTGCTGTGCAGTACATGTGTAACACTGAACGTTGGTGCTCTCTGCCTGCAGGTGCTACCAGAGCTTCCGAGATGCAATGTGACAAGAGATAACATGCAGGAACATGGAAGTGGATCTGAGAAAATAAGGAGGCTTCAATATGACTACTCTTAAGTCTTGTTAGTGGAGCTTGGTTGTTTTGCTGTTGTTTTTTAGTTCATTGTATATGCTGATAAAAGAACAAAGGTCAGATTGGAGGGTACAAAGAAATGCTTACCCAAACCAGTAAGTTTGAAAGAGGAAAGTGAGGATTCATTACAGGAGTATTCCACATGGAGCTGTGCAAAAGGTAGAGAGGCACTGATAGAGTGAGTTCAGAGTACATAAGCCCTGTAGCAAACACTTAACTTGATCAAATGGGCAAGATTTTCTGCTCTGAGTCTCGGACAACTCATTAGGGTGAAGAAATGAGAAGTGAGTGTACATCATCCCAACCCTGGACATTGTGTACACCCCACCCCCCTTGATGAGCAAGACTGGCAGACTAGTAACAATGGATGAGAAGAAGGTTGAGGTACTCAGTGTCTTCTTTGGCTCAGTCTTCACTGGCAGTTTCTCTTCCCACACCTCTCGAGTGGATGGACCACAAGACGGGGACTGGAAGAGCAAAGTCCCCCCACTGTAAGAGAAGATCAGGTTCAAGACCACTTGAGGAACCTAAATATACACAAGTCTATGGGACCTGACGAGATGCATCCCAGAGTCCTGAGGGAACTGGCTGATGTGGTTGCCAAGCCACTCTCCACAATATTTGAAAAGTCCTGACAGTAGGGTGAAGACCCTGGAGACTGGAAAAAGGGAAACATTGCACTCGTATTTAAAAAGGGTAGAAGGGAAGACCCTGGGAACTACCAACCTGTCAGCCTCACCTCTGTGCCTGGGAAGATGATGGAACAGATCCTCCTAGAAGCTGTGCTAAGGCACATGGAGGACAGGGAGGTGATTTGACACAGCCAGCATGGCTTCACCAAGGGCAAGTCCTGCCTGACCAACCTAGTGGCCTTCTATGATGGAGCGACCACATCAGTGGACAAGGGAAGAGCTACGAATGACATCTATCTGGACTTCTGTTAAGGCCTTAGACACAGTCCACCACAACATCCTTCTCTCTAAATTGAGGTGATACAGATGGTACTCGTTTGATGGGTAGGCTGTTCAGTGGATATTGGTTGGATGATCACAGCCAGAGGGTAGTGGTCAATGGCTCAATGTCCAGATGGAGGTCAGAGATGAGTGGTGTCCCTCAGGGGTCCTTATTGGGACCAGTACTCTAATACCTTCATCAATGACATAGACAGTGGGATCGAGTGCACCCTCAGCAAGTTTGCCAATGACACCAAGCTGAGTGGTCCAGCTGACATGCCTGAGGGATGGGATGCCATCCAGAGGGACTTGGTGAAGCTCGAGGCATGGACCCATTTCAACCTCAGGAGGTTCAACAAGGCCAAGTGCAGGGTCCTGCACCTGGGTCGGGGCAACCTCTGGTATCAGTCCAGGCTGGGGGGTGCCTGTGTGAACCTCATGAGGTTCAACAAGGCTAAGTGCAGGGTCCTGCATCTGGGTCAGGGCAATCCCCCGTAAACAGTACAGGCTGGGGGATGAAGGGATCAAGAGCAGTCCTGAAGAGAAGGACTTGGGGGTACTGGTGGATGAAAAGCTGGACATGAGCTGGCAATGTGCGCTCCCAGATAAGGAGACCAACTGTTATCCTGGGCTGCATCAAAAGAAGTGTGGCCAGCAGGTTGAGGGAGGTGATTCTGCTCCTCCACTCCGCTCCAGTGAGACCCCACCTGAAGTACTGCATCCAGCTCTGGTGCCCTCAGCACAGCAAAGACATGGACCTGCTGGAGAGGGTCCAGAGGAGGGCCACAAAAATGATCAGAGGGATGGAACGTCTCTCCTATGAGGAAAGGCTGAGAACGTTGGGGTTATTCAGCCTGGAGGAGAGAAGTCTCTGGCGAGACCTTATAGCAGCTGTTCAGCACTTAGAAGAGGGCTTCTAAGAAAGATGGGGACAGACTTTTTATCAGGACCTGTAGCGACAGGACAAGGGGTTTTAAACTAATAGAGAGTAGAGTTAGACTAACTATAAGGAAGAAATTTTTCACAATGAGGGTGGTGAAACACTGGCACAGGTTGCCCAGAGAGGTGGTAGATGCTCCATCCCTGGAAACATCCAAACAGGTTGGACGGGACTCTGAGCAACCTGATCTAGTTGAAGATGTCCCTGCTTATTGCAGGGGCGTTGGAGTAGATGACCTTTAAAGGTCCCTTCCAACCCAAACTATTGTATGAGTCTATGATTCTACCATTGTCCCATGGTTCCTTGTACAAACCCTTCCCTTCACTGGTGCACAATCCTAGCCCTTTCACATAATTAAAAATATCCCATTTCTGCTCCTTTAGGTGTAATCAGGCACCAAGTTCTTACTTATTTCTTTTTCACTCTTTCTATTCTTTTCAGACTTCCTATTCTTTTCAGTTTTGCATCCTTTTTATTTCTTTTCTCTACTTTGAACACTGCTTGTTCCTTATTTTTCTGTACATCATAATCACCATTTATCCATCCATTTCTGTTTAGTCTCACTCTCCTTCCCTATCATCCATTCATTCATCCATCCATTCTCTGCCTGCTTCTTCCTCAAATCTATTTATTCATTTATTCTATGTGTTACCCCCAGTGAGTCTGAGCCAAATAGATGCAAATCAACCACAGATAAAAGTCATCAAAAACAATCCAGCGACAAATCAGTCACAGATTCAAATGCATGTATTTATCGGTTGAAGTTCATATCTATTCATTCTTTCAAAAGACAACTAAATCCAGCAGGGAGAAAGGAACAAGGGCCTGTGTGAACCAGAAAAGAACTGTAACAGGCAGTTCAAGGAAAACCAAGCCAGCTTTATGTATGAATTAATATTACCAGAAGGGCAACAGTTGTTTAAGAAATAGGATACATGGTTAGGAAACAACTCAAACATAATTGGACTCTGGTGATGACAGAGCAGATCTACGGAAAGCTTTTCCCTTTCTTTTTCTCCCTATTGAAAAAATGACAAAACAAATTGAGGTAACTATGGGAAAAAAACAAAATAAAGTAGACCAGCTGTTGAGCAGGAAAGGTTCAAGCTTGCTGCAAATCTATAGATTAGATATCAGAAAGTATGTCTAGTCCACAAGTAAACGTAAAAATAACAAAGTCAGTTTGGACACTTAGCAGTCCTGAACCAACTGGAGATCATTGACAGGCCATACAGGGACAGCCTGTTGAGGACAGAGCCTCCTGGAAATTGGTGAAGACTTCAAACAGAATCCTTACCCTGAAAAGAGTGGGAAATTTCTACCTCAAACATAGCTCTCAGCCTTCTGTTGAGGTTCAAAGACTGAATCACAAGCACTAAACTATATCAAATACATGTACAACATGGTGTCCAAGAATCTGAACCATTTTAAACCTGTTCAGTGGTCACTGAGAAATGTGGTTGAACTGATAGTTCCTCCCTCCAGTATTGTCATCAACCACCTTTTTGACAAGCATACAAAGCTGACGATGACCAAATAAGCATGGGGAATGAATTTCTGTACACAACAGCCCAGAGGAAAGCCATATTTTTAGGTGATAAATGGAATATATGGAATTTCAAATACAGGCCTTATTCTCAGTTCAGGGACAGATATACCTCAAGAGACATCTCTTACAAGTCAGTGAAGCATACAGTATAGTGTGGAGTAATCTGGAAGGAGGCGTGGAAGAAAACCTATAAAGCCTTCATTCATGCTTTGTAGAAACTTATGTCCTCCTGCTATCAGATTCAACATCTCACCTCTCTTTAATTAATTTTGAGAATTAAAAACAAACATTAAATAAAATTTTATAAGAGGTCCCTTGTTAGAGTACCCTCTAAAAAGTCCCTTCCTGCAACACAAACCAAGTATT